AACTGTTTGGTTACCCACATTCTTCAAAATATCTTCTTTTTGTGTTTAGCACAAGAAGAGAATACAGGTTTGGGACAACATGAGAGTGTGTAAATAATGACAGAATTTAAACTTTTTGGGTGAACTGTCCCTTTATTGACAAGCGGCAGCATGTTTAGTAGCCTACTATTAGTACTGTCGCTTTAAGACCTGCATGCATCTAATATACTGGCACGCATCCTGCACTTATATGCGAATAAGTGCAGTGTCCTGTCAGTGTTGTGAATGTATGTGTTGTACAGTACATTGAGACGGAGACGACAGAACTGCATCTGATAGAATGTGCGCTGTAGCACGATACTACGATATGTCTTCAAGAGCAGACCACACATTACAAATACACATAATATACAAATAAAACAAACAGTGCTTTATTTTTCAGGTACAGTAGGTTATTTAGCAGTAGCATTCAAGAAACTGAATGAACAAATAAATAAAACACTATATACACTTCACTGTATAAATAATTGATTCTTATTAAAGCAACTGTATTAGAGTTCTTCATTCAAGAGCAGTGAGTGATTTTTCTCTGTGTTTTGTTGTTTTATTAACATTAAAGTGATAGTTCACCCAAAAATGAAAATTCTGTCATTATTTACTAACTCTCAAGTTGTTTTAAACCTGAATGAGTTTCTTTCTTCTGTTGAACATAAAAGTTATTTTGAAGAATGTGGGTAACCAAACAGTTGCTGGCGCCCCAGTTGTTCTCCTACTATCAAAGTCAATGGGGACCAGCAACTGTTTGGTTACCCACATTCTTCAAAATATCTTATTTTTTTGTTCAGCACAAGAAGAGAATACAGGTTTGGGACAACATGAGAGTGTGTAAATAATGACAGAATTTAAATTTTTGGGTGAACTGTCCCTTTATTGACAAGCGGCAGCATGTTTAGTAGCCTACTATTAGTACTGTCGCTTTAAGACCTGCATGCATCTAATATACTGGCACGCATCCTGCACTTATATGCGAATAAGTGCAGTGTCCTGTCAGTGTTGTGAATGTACGTGTTGTACAGTACATTGAGACGGAGATGACAGAACTGCATCTGATAGAATGTGCGCTGTAGCACGATACTACGATATGTCTTCAAGAGCAGACCATGGAGACATTTTAATCATCCAAAATAAAAAATCGTGATATCGCACACCCCTATGTCAAAGCCATGACTTCCTTTTACATTTTCTCCTGAGTCACATAAAAATGTTCATTTTTACAATTAACTTCCACTTATATAAAGGTAACTAGATTTTTTCTGGTGAAAATGTGAGTGGTGCTTGGCTCTGTTGCAATCTGGTTGCTAAGGTGTTCTGATGGTTGCTAGGGCGCTGCTAAGTGGTTGCTAACTGGCAAATGCACCCACCCAATAGCCATTTGGATGGGGAAAAACAACATTAACCAATAATTTTCCACAATCCAACTAAACATTTCCCATTGTATATTCTTCTTTACTCTGAAATGCACTACCGTTCAAAAGTTTGGGGTCGATAAGATTTTTTTTTTTTTTTGAAAGAAGTCTGCATTTATTTTGATTAGAAATGCAGCAAAAACAGTCATATTATGAGATATTATTTCCATTTAAAATGATTATTTTCTACTTGAATATGTTTTAAAATGTAATTTATATCTGTGATGTAAAGCTGAATTTTCAGCATCATTACTCCAGTCTTCAGTGTCACATGATCTTCAGAAATCATTCTAATATGTTGATTTGCTGCTCAAGAAACATTTCTGATTATTATCAATGTTGAAAACAGCTGTGCTGCCTTATATTTATGTGGAAACTGTGATACTTTTCTCAGGATTATTTTAAAGAATAAAAAAAGTTCCAAAAGAACAGCATTTATTTGAAATATAAAACTCTGAAACATTAGAAATGTCTTTACTGTCACTTTTGTTCAATTTAACACATCCTTGATGAATAAAAATATTAATTACAAAAAAACAACCAAAAACGGACCCCAAAACCTTTTAACTGGTAGTATACATCACACAATGGAAGTTCCCAATGGAAAATCCCACCAAAATCTGCCAACTTTTGTTGCTTTGTTAACAAAAATGCAGATTTTACAAAAGCATTTACAGTTCACTTGAATCATACCAGTTTTGTCTGTGAGCAGATAAGAGATCCGGCCCAGTTGCTCTGGTATGGTACTGGCTCGAACCACCGTCCCGGGGATTTTAGAGTCTTTCTTGATCATCCAACTGAACACCATTTTGCCCATGTCCAAATTCACACGCAAACTGCAAATAAAGCATAATGAGTGCTAGACATTTGTGATGCCCGATACTAAATTTCTCCACCGATATCGATAGCCGATTATTCAGAATGACATCTGGCTATACCAATACCTACAATTAGTTTTTTTTTAAAGAAAAAAATCTCTCCCAACTAATGCT